AAGAGAACACTGTTTTAATCAAATGAATGAAGTGCAAGTCAAGCTTAAACTAGTGTCTGACTCAAATCACGTACACAGCTATTTTTTCAGTCTTTCTTCAAGTCAATCTCCAACAAGGCAATCCAGCAAATTTTCCTATTTTGGACTCTTACACATCTAGGTGTGTCATCATGTAGCAACTCTTCCCCACATAAGAACTGCTTTTGTTCTCGTTAGCTCAACTCACCAGGAAATCTGAGCTGTTAATACTGGAAATACGGGATAAATTAGTTCCTTCCCCCGCCTCTCCCCCTCAACAATAGAATTACAGTTGGTAAAAAAGGACTAATTTTCTATTGCGAGGAACAGTTCTGTTGCATTTGGTTCCTTTTTCCCTGCACTTGCCAAGCTACCCTTTCATTAAACTTTACAAGTCTGATACAAATGTAAGAAAATCACTCCAACTTTAACCCTGGAAGAAACCATGTTTAAGGTGGAGTTGTGTTGCTATACTGGTATGGTTTCCACCTTTCCACAAGTAATTGTTGGATCTTAATAGCTGCTGTGCATTTTGGAGCAAGAGACCCCCCTTTTCTTTTGAAATGGCTGCAAAAGTATGTGTGTCGATACACTGACTTGGCTTCTACTAGAGCAAACTGACGGCCAACAGAATGTATCGCTCATCTCCTCCCTTCCCTGACCAACATGCTATCCCAGGTCAGCTCCAGGTATGCCTTGACCCAAATCAAGACTGGCCTACAGATCCTATCACAAACATCACATATTAGATGTGCAGTATTTTATTTCCTAAATATGCTGCTTGGAAGAGGAAGGAAGGAGCGAACATTTTAGCTTTCTTATGCTGTTGGTTCTCTCTTTGAAGGAAGCAATAGTCTCTGGAATATCTTCTACCTCAGCCCTCCTTCCAAATGGCATGAATTCCCATGTCAACTACAATAACACTTCCTCCAGAAACCCAGCTGTCTTATGTATGCTCCATTGCTCTGAAAATACATTCAGTATTCATTAAGTTCTCACTGCCCAGACCCCATCCTCTGAGCTCTCCCCACAAGCATCCTTTCAGTCTCAGATGTTTCATCTTCCCAACCCACCTGGAATCGGACCCTCACTGACCTTCCTCTCCTTTCCCATTGTTCAGAACCCTCCATCTCCCAAATAACCTCTCAGTACCTGCTACCTTCCTCAGTCTTTAGGAACCTCCCAGCTGCTTTCCAATCTTTTCCTCCTGTCCAACTGCTCAGAAGCCTTCATGAAGACCCCCCTGCATACCCTCTTTTCTACTGGTTCCTTTGTTCTGCCTAACTCCACTCCTCCCCCCTGGGTTCAAGCATCAACCCTTTCTTTTCTCCTGTCCCAAAAAAATCATTGCTGTTATTCTACTCTCCAAAGGCTCTTCCTCTGTTCTGGCCCCATACTGAAGAAAATGTCAAACTCCTCCCTGGTCAGGGGAGCCCAAGCCCATGGAAAGACCCTGAGCCAGGGTAGGACCAAGGAAAAGAAAAAAGTCACGGAGAACTCTGGGTTTCCCCTTTGCTCTTTCATCACTTCTTTCTAGGAAAATGCTTCCGGGAATTTGAGTTGGTAGCATCCCCATGACTGACAGCTCATTACTTCAAGCCTCCTACTCCTGGCCTGTTTCCCCCTCCCTCCCACCCAAGGTCCCATAGGCTAGGGAGAGACATTTAAAAAGCTAGAGCCTGAATTGATTCAACATTTGCAGATGAGTCTAACCTGCCTAGGTTGAACTGGTTTGTAACAGCACAGACATTTTCTCTGGACTGAGAAAATGTGGGCGCATGTCTGCAGGTGCACAGGCCAGGAGCTGGGGGTTGCTAGAGTGTATCCTCAGCTTCAGGGAAGTTGTGCTGGGGAGGAGGGGGTTGTGGCCAATCTGAGGTGAACTTTAATTTGCCCCTCCCTGTCCCACTGGCAGGGACCTGACCTCAGTCTGCTAGGCGCTCCCCACCTCACTGCTGCAGCAGGGGTCACCTTGGGCCCCTGAAGCAGAGGGGTCATGGAAGGGGCTTATTCTCCCCTCTACTTCCACTCTCCTGGAGAACTGCAGCTGGGTCTGCCAGCCCTGACTGCCACTGTGGCCCCCTTTGATCCCTGGTGCTGCTGCGCGCAGTCTGCTGCAGCTCTGTCTGCCCTGAAGCAGAGCATCCCCACCAGGAAGGGGCTTGCACTCTCCAACACTATGACGGGGGCTGCTGCCTCCATCAAGGGTCTTACCTTCCACTGCAGCAGTGGGGTGAGGGCATGGCCAGGCGTCAGCCAGAATGGCCCCTTGCAGATGGGGCAGGGACAGGGGTTATTCCCCCTGTCTTCAGCGTCCAGTTGAGGGGACAGGAGGGGGCTTATTTTCCTGCTCAGAAGTGGCAGCGGTCAGGGCAGGCAGACCTGGCTGCAGTCCCCTGGGGGCAGTGGGGATAGAGAAGAAAATAACCCTGTCTCCCTGCCCCCTCTACCTCAGGGGTGGCCTGCTGCTGCAGCAGCAAGCAGGGAGCACCCAGCAGATCCAGCTCAGGTCCCCAACAGTGGGACAGGGAGAGGGGAATTAAGTCCCACTCTGGCCAGACCCCTGTCCCTGCCTCTCCCTGCTCTGGCTGGGGAACAGAGGGGCAGGGCCACCCCTGCTGGGCTGGAGCAGACAGTAAAGCCCAGAGAGCATGCCAGAATGCTGCAGGAGGACTCTGGTTTAAGTTAAACCAGGAAGGAGTCAGACATTACATAAACCAGTTTGAGGCAAATCAGTTAAGTCTGATACTGCATTCAACCAGGTTAATCTCAAACCAGTTTCAGCCATTTTGAAACGGGTTTATGTGCACTGAACATCTGTTCTGTTACAGGTTTACACCAGTTTCTGGTCACTTAAACCCGTTTTATGTGTAATGTCTGTCCCTAGCCTTAGTGGTTGATTCAAGTTCCTACGTCTTGCAGCAGCTTATTACACGTGTCTCTAGTGTCTGTTGCATTGCTCGCTCCCCTCACTGCTATTTTTCTATCAATGTAAATCCAACACCTCCTAAAGCAGTATTAATTCCCAATTAATTCAAGGTCAGTGTACAAGGTCTCTCAGAAAATATACCTGCACTTTACAAAAACCACTCACAGAACTGAACCTTTGGTCTGGGTCACATAACTGCTGTGGTTAAGGTGACTCCCAGTCATACCTTTCATATTGCAGTGTAGACTTTAACTGTTCGAGAATAAACATTGCTCTACATCAGGGCTGTCCAGCTGGTGGCCTGTGGGCCCCAACATCTGCCTCTCCTATTGGCATGCAGTGAGGGAGGATCTGGGGGTCTGTGCACCTGCACAGTCTGTGTGGTAGGGGGAAATGGGAGGATCAGGGGCTTCCACCATCATTTGGTGATGGAGGGGGACCATGTGCATCTGGTATAGTAGGTATGGGGGATTCAGGGGTGCAACGCTTTTCCCCAGTGTGCCAAAGTCAGACAGCCCTGTCCTAGATAACTCATTTGCCTACCCTGTGAAAGAAGTGGCAGAGTCTCCTCTTTGCAGCATTCTTAATGAGCTGGACCCTTGTCCTGCTCATTTGAATCTTGTGATAATGCAGCCATTTGGATTTCTCTGGGGAGCAAGCGTACATAGTTAACACTTCTTCAGCATTTTTTTTCACTTATCTCAGTGTGTGGCCTTCTGGAACACCACTTACACATGTTTTTCACAGGGCCATCAAGTTCAGTTTTTTCTCTCCAACTTGCAGTGGTCTAGCACATTGGCAGTGTTCTTCCATGTTCACATCTCCAAGCTCAATGAACTTGCAAATTTTCAGTACCTTTTCAAAACTTTACTTTCTTGATCTAATGACAGAAACACTTTCCATACATTTATAACTAGACTGACTGATAGGAGGCAGCTCACTGAAGGTCTATCACTGGAACTTCTCATTCTTATGAGTAAGAGGTTGATGTCACACCGCTCGGAGCCATGTTGTCTCCCGATTGGAATGGTAGTGTCTTGTCATAGGAAAGACCACCTGTCATGCCTTTGATGTTATGGGAGATATGTCTAGACACTCTTGGGAGACACCAGATATTTGTCATAAGCTCAGGATGTTGACAGCTCTTTGCAGGGCTCCACTATCCCCATAACCTGCCCTCACCACACCTGATGTTCCGGGAATTGTTATGTGCCTCTTAGGTCAAGGTTCCCACTCTCACTTCAAGGACCCTTGCCTGAGGCTTTGGCTAACTGGCTGCTTGCCCCATTCTTCCCTGCATGGGTCCCAAGGCAGCTATTTCTCTCTTTTGGTCCCCTGTTGTCCTCCTGGGACTGGGGCCAACTCTCTCTTCCTACCAGCCTCCCGCGAAGTATTTCTGTCCGTACCTTCTTCCTTCCCCAGCTCCCCAAAGTGGCTCTCTTTATCCACTGGTAGTGGATTCACTGGTCAATTGGCTCTCCCTGTTGGATCAAGTTCCTCACCGGGTCTCACCAGGTAGGGGCTAGGGTCTTCTCTTAGGCTCCGGGGTTGGTCTTCTCCTCCCATCTGCTTTCAGTTCTCCTCTCTTGTTCTTTGCTGTCTTTTTGTTCTCCTCTGACCCTGGATGCTTCTTCGGCATCCCTTAAATCCCCCTCTTTCTAGCTGCAATGGCAGCCTCCTATTCACTGCCCATCTGACTCAGCTATTCTTCTCTTGCTCTCTGGTGTGGTCTTTTCTTTTGCTGCACTGTTTTCTCCCTCCCAGGTTCAAATCCTGGTGTTTGAGTTTGCTGCGGCAGCCTTTGATCTGCCATGGCCCCAGCTGACTCCCCAATCATCTGGAGCACAGCGTTTTCCTTGTCCCAGCTTGCCATGGCTTCTTCTGTTTCTTGAGGTAAGTTTGTCCCTTTTACTTCCCCCTTGGTGTTCACATGGCAGTGCTTCAGTCACCCTGTCACATTATGACTGAAGTATGTACACATTTTTGAGATACCCTTCTTTCATGTGATTTAAGATTCCTAGCTTCACAAAATACAAAACATATTTGAATTTAAAAAAAGGGTAGCAAGAAGCAATAACCAAGAAGTCTTAATAAAAAGATTATAGAAAATACAAATCTTGCCTTTTATTGTATGTGGCTGTGCAACTAAAATTTAATAAATAACTTCATTTCTATATAAAATTGAATGTATTGGTCCATGTATAAAAATAAATAGATATTTAAAACATCTCATTTTGCCTCTTTCTTCATAAAAAATGTAGTAATGGAGTGTGAACAACACAAAAGTCCCAGGAAAAGTCAAATTATGGGTGAATGCTCCTACTTCACTATAGATAGGCAAAGTTCTCCTATATTATACACAGCAAGCAGTCAGCTATCTAGTAAATCTTTAGAGGCAGAAGGTGTGGTAGGGCATGGCTGACCATGGTCTGTGTACCATATAGACTTCTTATCTCTGGTGCTGATGGGAAGTACCTAGCAAAAGAAAAAGACATAGTTTTTAAGCAAATAAAAGGGTGAATTATTTGAGGGTTGAAGGTGAGCTCCAGACTTCTCAGAGGCTAAATTACTGCTTCTGCCTATATCGGAGGATGAAGGATAAATTTCTTCCCCACAATATGATCAAGGGAACCCAGCTTTGACTTAGAGAGGATTGTGGAGAGGCAGTAGAAGAGCCTCCATTAACCAATTCAGTTGTGGTGGCTTTGCACAGCATTGCTTTTTATAGAATGCTGTGCTGTTTTCAGAGCAAATACTTTCCAGCAAAGGTTCATTATAGTCTGGTACTGAGAGCTGTCCAAGAGCCAGACTGCCAGACATATCATATTTAATTTCTGTTTTTGCAAACATTGCTGCAACTTGTTTTACTCCCAGGGAGGGAGTTAGATATGAGCTAATCACTTTGTGTCCTGGTGCCTCTGTTTTTTTATCCAAGATAATCTTAATGATGCCCACCCTCCTTTATATAATGTTTTGAAAATATAAATGGAAGTCAATCAGGATCAGCAAAGAACTTGCATTTTTCTATTTCCAGACAAGATGTAACAGCACTGAGAAGATATTCAGTAACTCTTAATAAATCTGGTGTTTAATCTTGGGGTCCACTGCACATCAGCCATGGGCTTATTTATAAGAATAGCCCATACATAAGACCAGCCATTTACTGGGTCAGACCATAGGTCATGCCCACTATCCTGTGTCATACAGTGGCAGAGAGTGGATGCTGAAAGGGACAGTGAGCAGGGTATGACCATATTTTTTCCACTGTTCCTCTCCCACTTCCAGCCTCCAGCATTTAAGTTCTAGGAAGCTCCAATTCAGAGGCGGTGCCCCTAATTTCCATGGTCCCCTGGTAACATACTTCTGGAAGGGCTCACCCAGCACAGATCTTGATTTTCTTTTGTTCGATGTTGCCGTCTCCAGCACAGGCAGAAGTAGCCAAGAAGAAGCAAGAGAACCAAAGCAATGGACACATAGATGGGTATGTCTCTAACCTTTGGTTCATGAAGACCTTGGCCTGCAAAAGAATCAACAAACCTTAAGAGAAGGGCTAAAACTACATCAACAGCTGCAGTCAGCTTTGCCAAACTCCAGAAGAAGGAAAGGACCAGGTGCAGCTGTACTGCCAAACAAGCTGTCTGTCACCAGGATCTTAATGTAGCCTTCAGTCCATAACACATTGTGCTTTGGCCTGTTCCAAGTGAGGGGCATCACCAGCCATATTTTGTCCCTCACTATGTACGCACTCACCTCTTGTTCTCTTAGCTGTCCCAAAGCATCCCTTTCTCCTTTGCATGAGAAACTTTATCTTTCTCTCAGCTGTGCTAAAGGAGCTCTTGCTTGACAACTAGTCCAGGACCTCCTACTTTGCATTGTCTCAGAAACACTTTTGTTTATCTCATACCACAGGATATAGCTCCCTCCTCCTCCCCAAAACAAATCTTATACTCACTCTGTTTCAAACTGTCCTTGGGCAGGGCTAGGGTAATGTTCAGAGATGGATGTTGGATCTCACAGACGAGAGATTCCTCCAAGAGTATCTCGGAGGGGACATGTGTGAAACTGCTTATAGCAGTCACAGTCTGGTTAGCATGTTTGATAAAATACTCTCTTGGTTTCTGCTGAAGGTGGCTGGACAGGATCCAGGAGACCTTTGGGGTTGGTTTCCCTGTTACTGAGCAACTCATCTCCAGCAGCTTCTCCCCAGCATTGTCAGGGTTGGACACAAGCTTGGCCTCCACTCTGGGTTCTGATATTGCTGTAAAACACAAGATAAGCTCATTATTAATACCTCCAGCTATATATCAGTGAAGAACTGTAGCAAGTATCTTGGTGAATCTCTTGGTGAAAAGAGAATCTTGGTGCCTGTTTCTTGCTAAGTCATGAAGACAAGGCTTCTATTAATTTTACTTTCCAGTGCTGTCTGCCATCTCAGCCAACCAGGACACTCGGCATGGTCATACAGGCTTTCACGATATTGGAACAAAAATGAAGAACTCCATAAAATCAGACATGGGGAAGTAAAAGCATGGGAGCTGCAGTAGATTATCATAGCTTGACATAAGCAAGAATGAGTGGGTTAAAAGATAAAAAGTAATGTATGTCGGAAGTAAGAAACCAGGTAACTAAAATGAGCAAGCAACTTCAGCACGGCAGATGTCTATTACTTTTCTTTTTTGTTTTTGTATAATTTTACTATAGATGGTAGGTGCTGACCTAAGAGCCCTAGGGCTGACCCAAGAAACTAATAAAGTAAAACAGGAACAATGCAAGTTTCCCCATACAGATCATTTTTAATCAAATCACAGTAACATTATCAGTTACGTATTTATATTGTTGTGCAACTAAAGTAAATGAGCATATGTAATTAATGCACTCCCATGGTTTTTTTTTCCCTTTATATAGTTGTAAAGTGTGCTTATATTTTGAGTTATAAAATTAAGGACAAAATGTATAAAGGAGTGGTTCCTTAAGTTAGGTATCTAAATACACACCCTTAAGAACTGAAGTATCAGCCTCATTTTCACATGTGCTGAGCATCCAGAAGCTCCCATTAACTTCAACACATGCTTGGGTCATGCAAATATCACCACTTCCTTAGGTGCCCTAATCACGCCAAGATTTACCCAGACATACAACTGTACTTTGGTGAGTTGGACTTCATAATACCATACATGTAAGTTAAATTATGCATCTGTGTATGTCTTGGCAGGACCTGGGTCTACATATGGATCAATAAGTCTAGGTACTTGCAATAAAATATTAGTTTCCTTGGATGCTCCCCCGAGTCTTAAAAATGGCAACTATAGTTTTGTCTTTTGCTTGATACAAAAAGGGTTTTGGATTTTGTTGGCTCACTAATATTTGTGTGTTCTATCAAAGCATCTCTTTTTCCACTGTGCAGGTAAATGGTTTCTGCTGAAGGTGGCTGGACAGGATCCAGGAGACCTTTGGGCCTCCATTCCTGAGCAGGATATTTCTAGCAATAAATAAATATAATTAAAAACCCAGGATGGATAAAAGCTGAAAGTCAAATCAGCTGAAAGTCAAAACAAAGTTGAAGGATAATAAGTGGCATCTATCAGTTTGACATCCACATCTCTCCTGAACCATTAAGTAACTTCCCATAGCCCTATGCTAATTTTCCAAGCCAAAAATAAGACACCATGTACCAACCTTAACTTCAGAGAAGCTACAGCCACTCCATACTTAGGTAAAACAATAAATAAATGATGTCAGTTTAGGGTTCTCTTTCAGGAGGTCTCTGATTTCTAGTTTCTACAATAATCCTAAAGCACATTAAAGTTCTATGTTATACCCCAGACAATGTGTTTATTATGGTTGCACCTGCATTTGAGATCGCATCAGAAACTTCTCACTTCTCTTTTTCCCAACCAGATAGAAACTCAATATTATCCAACTTCAAGGACTGATGAATTACAATACTGCTTCCTCTTAACACTGCAGTAAAAGCAGTCTTGGGGATTTCAGCTGGAACTTCAAAAAATCTCCCATCTGAGTTTGGAAATTGAGAGAGGAGTGATTACACAAAGAACATTAAGTTTCAATTAGCAAATCACTCCTTGAACTTCTTCTTTTACTCACGGGATACACAAAAATATGGTTTTGATTATCACCGCCTACGACATTGGCCTCAAATATTTTTGAAACTGACAAAAAAGAAACAGTGAGTAAAATCTTCCCAAGGTCACATGGGCAGGTGTTTCCACTTGGAGGTCATTTACAGAACATCAGTGAAAAATAACTCACATGACTGGATATTAATACTTCACACTGTTCAAGTGAGAGATCACTGCTTTTTGTAGACGAAACTCTGACGAAAGGGTCACAGAAAGGATCGAAATTGTCCCATCATGCAGTGAAACTGTGACAATGTGGAAATTCATATTTCTCAACTGTCACAACCCTGCTCTTTACATTGGGCCATATTTCCCCACCCCTGTTAGATTTTTGTTAAAAGTTATAATCCTGAAGTTTTATACAGCCAAATTCACCAGTTCTGCCCCAAAACAGCTCTCCTGGTAGACAGACATTTGAATCTTCTATTGAATCTATCCTTATTCATTGGTTATGTCTCTGTTTTAGATATTAAATGAAGCCACTCAAATTTCTTTACTTTCAATGTTCTTTATTTTAAAGGGCTTGACCATGATCCCAGTAATGTCAGTGGGAGGCTAAGAGTGGCACTGGTATCTAACGTTTATAGAAGAGAGTCAGAATTTGCTCTGCCCCTGACTCACCATATGAGGTTTGGCACATAAGTCTTCCTGAGCCTCAGTTTCCCCATTTGGAAACAGTGTCAGTATTTATCCACCTTCCTTTGAGACCTCCATTATATTATTCAGAACGTATCTGGATACACATAAATACACTCATAAAGGATCCTGTCAATTGGCCAGTCCCCATCACTGTGACAAACATTGCCTTTCTCTCAGGTTCCAGCTTCAGTATCTGCCATTTACTCTTCGGAAAGATCTTGAATTCAGAAGTACAAAGGGGCAACACTCAAATTCTCTTTTCTTCGTCATTTTTTATTACAGGAAAAACCCATCCCTATTACAGCAGGTTTCATAGCATTTCCCCCCACTCCCCATTCCAGCAAGACAACTCTAAAATTCCCTCTTGTGAATATACCTATTCCCGCAGTGTGTGGTTGCTAGGCCTTGTGTGTGGTATACAATACTAGCTGTGGTTTCAGTTCCCTTGAACAACTATAAACTAGTTATGGTGCCAATACCAGAATAACCCTCCCATGGAATATGAAGACTGTAAAAGCTTGTCAACAACTGCCGTGTAATCTCCCTGAGAATCCCCAGTTACCCCTTCCTCCTCTCTAGGGCAAGCAGATAATGATTTTCCTTCAAGCAGAAATTGTTGCAAGTTGAATCTTGGTGTAAGTGACTGAGGGGTTCAGACAGTCTTTGGGGTGAATTCTTGCATCACATTCTCAGACAGTAGGAATCCTCTATTTGGTTTAGCACAAGTTACTCCCATAGTCAAAATAGGAATTTAGGGCTGCCTATATACATGCTCACTGGCGTTCTAATTCGAATGCTGCAGTGTCACGTGCATTAAGCTCCTGCATGTTTTAAAATGGCTGCAGCGCACTTTAACTAAGCTTTGTTGAATGAGGTTTAAATAAAGTGTCCCACAGTCATTTTTAGATACGTGGGGGCTTAATATATGTGACAGTGAGGCATTCCAATTAGAGTGGCTACCCAGAAACCACACTAATTAAAACACCTTCCCCTCCCCCCACTTCTGATCATATGTATCAGAAGCCTGTCTAAATCAGGAATTTAAGGATATGCCTGTATTGCAGTGGCAAAATGTCCTACGTGGGCCATTGCCAGTTCTATCCCATGCACTTCCATGCCCCAAACCTCAAAACATACCAGTGATGCCACTGCAGGCTGGTCTCCTGGTGCTGGTCTCTGGCTCTTGCAGACAACCCTGGACTGGCCTCACTGGAGTATTTCTATGCCTGAAGCATATGCAAGAATGGCCCATTCAGGACATGCCCTAAAGTACCTTTGAGATCGTGCTAGAATAATTACGCAAAAATAAATGCACAATTTACAGCATTCACAGTACAAATTAAAATATTTTGTAGTTAAAATGGGTCAGAGGGATTGAAAATGTTTCATTTGGTGATATCATTGGGTGAAAATATAGGATAAAAGCTAGTGTAAACATTTCAGAACATTTCCCATGTCCTATGTCTCATTTAAGTTTCCAAAGAGTAAGCTCCTTTTGTAATTGTATATCATTTATGGCCAGAGGGGATAACCAGATTATCTCATCTGACTTCTTGTTTATCCCAGGCCATTAAGTTTTATCCAAAAGTCTCATTTCAAGCCCAAATACTTAAATTAGACCAAACCATTTCAGCCTACACAAAACTAAGCTGAAGTGTGCCAGAAGCTAAGAAAAGAATAGACCCAGATTGCCACCTACAAACCCAGTCCATGACATGGCAGAAAATTGTTTAGGTGAGATATATTCAGTTATTGTAGCAGAGGGTCCACACAGCAGAGGAAGGCAACCACCACTTCCCTTCCTCCCTCCCCAAGATCCCTGACAATCTGATGAGAATGACATTTCTTTTCCAATCCTAAAGTTAATAAGAAATATGACCCAGAGTATATGAACAAGGCAGCAGCCAGGAACTTAAGAAAGAGAATATCTTATACCTCAGAGCATGTATCCACCCTTGTCCTGAACAATTTCGGATCCATTAGAGAAAGGTGAAAATAAAAACAGAATAAATATGACCAAATATGCACTGGGCAAAAATGTGCGAAGGGGGAAGGAGAGAATTTCTTCCTGACCTTGGCAGGCTGACCAGATGAAACAGGGAACTCTGCTAGATTTTAAGAGGTTAAGAATCCTGAATTATTATTAGAGGAAGGGCCATAAGGTATTTATTTTATTTTTATATATATATATACACACATATACATACACACACACACACACACACATATACATATATATATACACACACACACACACACACACACACACACACATTTTAGTGTTTACGAATATAGACCCACATTGACAGTACCATTGTCAACTGCCTCCTTCATTCAGTTCAGTTAGCAATGTTGGGGAAGGTATTTCTATTGTTAGAGCAGCAGAGGAAAGGTTTGAAATGGTATTGGAATTATCAGAATGTCACTGAGGTGCAAGAAGCTTGGAGAAGTACATATGGAAGAATGCCATCAATGTGCAATCTGGAGAGAAAAAAAATTTAACCTGATTGCCCCGTGAAATATATGCATAAGCAGCATTCCAGGGATTCACACTGTGACAAGTGAAAAGAGTTGGTACACGCTATGTATCAATGCTCCTAAGGGAAAATCCACATTGCGTGCTCACAAGATTGAAATGAGCAGGGCAAGCGTCCAGTGTATTATGAAGGCTGCAAAAGGAAAGCCTGCCTCTGCCCTTACAGGGTAGGCAAATGAGCAATTCAAGGTAGGTCTACACTGCAATACAAAGAGTGTGTCTCCCACTGAGCTAGCGTGGGTACTGGTAAATGGGTAACTGTGCCAGCAAAGACTAGGTATCTGAGTATTTGCCCAAGGTTCCCACTGGATCTCATGCTGTTTCAGCTATCCTATTCTCGGGGTAACTTGCTTACAGCTAGATTGGGGATGTGCATACAAGGTGCAAATGCACCTTTGGATTGCAGTGTAGGCATAACAGTAAAGTCCCACCAGCAAGAATAATGCTTATTCCCTTACATTAGGAAATTCTCCATACCTTTTATAATAAGGCTGTATGTCACTGTATGGGATTCCTAACTGTTTTACAGGCTACATGAAGAACTAAGCCTCCTCTGGCTGAAGGTAGGGTTGGGTGGTACCTTAGAAAGTAACTGATTCAAAGAGGCATAGGGAACATTTTACTTTGTCAGATGCAAGTCAGAAAAAGGATGTATATCTTCCTCCAGAAACATCTGGTACCAAATACCACCAAATGGAGTACAATATCTGGTCTGATATGCTAAGTTTCATAAGGTTATTCATTTCATTAAGAAATGCTTGGTTTATTTATTTATTCTCAATGCATTTTATTTTTCAATGTATTTGATATAAACACAGTAATATATTTGAAAAAAAAACTAAAGCCCTGGACAGACATACACAGAACCCAGTGTAATTTACTTTGGTTTTGTATATCAATAAAATACACTAGAAGCAAGAGCTGAGAGATGTGTAATCCTCGTAAAAGATGGTTATTACAGCGTTCAGGTTGTATTCCATTAAGGAATGGGATCTCTGCATGTTTTTATACATGCTCTGGTGGTAGGGCAGAGGAAGGTGGGGGTGCTTTAATTAGAGTGGCTCTGAGAGCTGCTTTAATTAAAGTGCCTGCAGTGTCTTGTGTATCAGCATCCCCATCCTTCAAAATGGTGGTGGGGGTGCTTTAACTGAAGCTTGTTCAACAAGCTTTAGTTAAAGTGCCCCCGCTGCCATTTTGATGTACGGGGATGCTAATATACAAGACACAGAGGCCGAATGGAGAGCACTGTTTAGCACTCTCCAGGTGACTCAATTAATTAATTAAGCAGACTTAATTAATTGAGTCTGCTCTGACATGCTGAAATTACAGCATGGAGCAGCCTCCCCACATGTATACAGGCACCCTCTGTGACCAACAAAATCTAAATTCATGCCAGTAGAGCTTCACCTCTGATTCTTTAAAAGAAAGAGTGAAACCTTTGGAAGACTCAGAAACTGCAAGAAATAATGTCTGTCAACTACAGATATGCTTGTGAAGATTATTGCATAGGTTTGGAGTCAAGAAACAGAAATGGCTGCTCCAAAAAGCATGTGTATCGGTAGAAAAATATTTTTAAGACGTTTGCTCAAGGCCAGGAGGAATCATAATAGCAAGGATTTTGGTTGCCTTGGGAAAATTCTTTTCCTGCTTTAAATGTTAATGGCAAAAGCTATACGTCTGCATTGCAGGATGCATGTTTGTACAAAATGTTTTTCTTTGTTATAAATGATTTATTTTAAGCAAAACAAAACAAAGTGGGTCCCTTCTACTACCCAGACTATTACATTTAAATTCTTTCTGTATTTTGTCAGTTTTGATTTAGGATCTAATCATGCCTTAATTCAGATTTCATTCTCAATATCTGTTCCTAGAAACCTGTGCTTAGCTATATGATCCACTCCATGGTTGCTTAAGAAATTTATCACATGAGAATTCAGAGGATTATCCTGAACTCTGGGCTCTAGTCACTTGGATGTGAGCTCTTTTTGGAAAGTGTTAATATTAACAGATGAGCAAAGTTGCCACAACACTACAGGCTGCACTATGCCTCTATACTGTTGTTCTGAGAAATTGTATATGTGGAAAATACCTTCTGCTCATACTCCCTAGGGCACAACTTAATCCGCTTGAGTGTCCAAGACAGTGAGAATGACAATTGCTAATAGTGGATATTGAAATCCTTCTCATATCCCACCTATCTTCTAGCATTAAAACTGAAACACCCTAACAAGACACATTCTCGTTTCATTTCCAGGTAATCTCCCATCCCTTTCTTTTTTATAGAATCTCTATTTTAATTGAGGGCTTTTATTATGTTTGATTATGAAACCTGACATCTCATCTCACACTGTTCTTCCCCACTCATTTCTTTGAGCCAACATAAGCTGATCTCTATGATGAATTCTTAGTCACCTACCACGGGGTAAAAACAGCATCCATACTTGAAATTCTCTCTGCTTCCCTTCTTACCAATTTCTTGAACTCAACCTATCCACTGTTTTTTAAATTGTTGCTCCATAATTCACCTCCAGATATGTTCAATGTTGAATGTCAAGATTTAAGCTTAAGGAAGAAGCTTAATTTAAACACTTCAGTGGCACAGAAGTACCATGCTGGGGAGGAGAGGTCCTCAGCTTTCAATGCAATGTGCAGTTGGAATTTCTTCCTACAACTAAAGCTTCAATGCTGGAAAAATAGAGAATGGTAACCTATCAGGTACTTTGAGTAAGCTGTATATCAAAAGTCACCATTTCCTGATTTTTTATTTTCCTAATGATAATAAAATTAAAAATAACCATTAAACACTACTTCCCCCCTATCAAAGGTACAGCTGATGAGGAAGGATGGAAGAGCAATTAGGAAAACTTTGCCTTAGAAATAGAGAGATTTAACAAATGTTGCAACTAGAGATCAACATCATTCTTTCCATGAGAATGGCTAGAGTTTCAAAGAAGTCCCCTGAATACTGACGATGTCTTACCGTAGACCTTGAGACACATCCTTCCAAAAATGGACCCCATGGGAAATGTGTTGAAGATGCATTTGTAGCATCCCTCATCTTGCATGGTGACTGCATGAAAGGTGATGGCAGAGACTTTTAACTCGCGCTGGGTAAAGTTTATGTGGCCAGCATAGTTATCCAGGATCTTGTGACCATTTATCTTGCTATAGGTTGCTATGTTGTTTTCTTTCTTCCCATTCTCTTTTTGCCAGGTGACTTGAAGCACATCATGCTTTGAAATCAGGTGGCAGAGGAAAGTAGCATTTTTTCCTTCTTTAGTGGATTGGACTTTGCTTGGTATTACCTGCACAGAGCCTGTGGGAGACCAGAAGGTATAATTCAAAGATTGTTACATTTATTCATGAAACACATGCAATAGAGAGATCCCAAAATCTATTACATTAATATGCTAAATGTTCCCCAACAATTTCTAAAATTCGCTGCATGCTTCACCTTCATACTTTCCGGAAAAAAGTGGTCCTGGAGAAATTCACTGGAATGTTAAACTGCTGAAAGTAACAGGGACACTCATTAAGATAAGACATCTCCCTAGACTATTCAGTTGCCTCTTTCAAGATTGCCAGTGAGACAGCCAGTTCAGATCCCAAGAAGAAGTGCTCATGTATTTTGTGATGCAAACATTTGTCCAATAGGATCTGTAACAAGGACTCATAAAGCCAATGAGCAACAGCTGCTTTATTAGCAATTTCTGGATGCTACCAGTCCCTATCCTACTGGACTTGAATTAGTAAAGCTGAAAATTGCACTTTAATGTCTACATACAAATTTATTGGTGTAGAGCAAATGCTTCATATATAACTTATTCTTAAGCTATAGTCCATAGACCAGCAGGCATCTTAATTGCAGCGCTTCTTCTGATAGCTCACAGAATAAAACATATTAAGAATTAGTAGTGGGAGGGACAGGGACTGTCCATACATGACATCTTGGCCTCTGAGGGGTCCTTGACCAGGAGGCCTGGCCCCCCATGCCCATGCTGGAATGAGACATGATCATGAAAAGTTATTTTTCAAAATCAAAGAGCCACAATATTGAAAAACTCCATAAAATATTAATGGCTTTCCCATTAGCAAAGGCTCATTGAAGTACCATTAACATGACCGGTGGGCCTTACTTCATTTTGCACCAATTCTTTTCTTAGAATAGAAGCTAAAATTAACTTCGTTAGTTTATATCACTGCTCCCCAAAGTAAGATATAGGCAAACCAGGCACAAACAACAGTATTTCCTTCCCTAACCAGGCTTGAGTCAGTATGGTTATGTCTACAGCCAGTTGCTGACCAGAAATAAGGTTTTGCCATGCATAGTGCTATGACAAGGATACATTTTCTTCACATACAGAATATTTATGCCATAGTCACTCCCATAACTGCAATGTAGTATAAACATGTCCAAGTTTGTTCACATATTGCTGCTAGCATAGTTGCAACAAGCACAGAATCCACCTAATCAGAAGAATAAATGTTCAAGTGCTTAGCTTAGTACTGTGCTGAGCTCTGTTACGGGTAGACTGCCACCAGAACCTTTTTCTGGCAGTAGTCTAAGTCAGTCATTCCAGCCTGACTAGAGGAAAACTAATTTAATATTTGGCAACCATAAATTCAGCCAAAACATAAGATGGAATCAAGTTGGGTGGGGTGTTGGAAAGCATTTTACGCAATTAACTGTTTTCATTTAATATTTTTTAAAATAATCTATGCACAAGCATCTAGCAAATGGATGCACTTCTTTTAGAATTAATATGAAGGTAAATTAATTAAGAAGTCTAAGTAGGAAGTGTCAGTAAAGAAAGACAGGATTAAAACCCAGCCCCACCCCATGGACAACATGGTTGTTTGTCTAGCAGTAGTGCTTTGCTACTGAAGATACTAATCTGGGATGGTCAGTGAGAAGCCAAACTGCAGCAAATATTTCTTTGTAGCCATAAATCATCAGGTCAGCAGGATGTTTTGTCAACAAAAGTTTTATAAGTTTTAGCCAAAAAATATAAAGTTTACCTGAAGCAACAATCCAGACTCCAGAAAACAAGAGGAATTTGAATATCATCGCAGCTGTGAGAACAGAAGTCGACTGACTGGTTCACAGAGCTTTCAACTTCTCTTTTATAGTCTTCACAGCCTCTGCAGGGATTTCCACATCAAGCTTATGGTAAATAAACTTCTCTAAATTTGTGAAAAAACCCAGTAGAGGAGTGAAAAGCTATATGTTCAGGGAAAGAAAACAACACCATCACGCAGTTTCTTAAACCTATTACCTCGTACCTATTAAATGGGTATTTTGCATCAGTCTTTCATCAGTCCCATGGGATACCCATGCCCGCTACCGGACAGGGAGGCCCAGATGAGGGAGATCCCCTGCCCTCCATAAATGCTGACCTCATAAAGGAACACCTTGAGAGGCTGGATACCTTCTAGTCAGCTGGCCCTGACAATCTACACCCCAGGGTACTCGAGGAGCTGGCGAGCGTCATAGCTCAGCCCCTGGCACGGATCTTTGAAAACTCCTGGTGTTCTGGTGTAGTGCCCGAAGACTGGAAGAAGGCCAATGTGATGCCTATCTTCAAGAAAGGGAGGAAAGTGGATCTGGCTAACTATAGGCCCATCAGCCTGACTTCTATCCCAAGAAAGGTCTTAGAAAAGTTTATTAAAGAGGTCATCCTTAATGGACTGGCCGATGCCAACATCCTGAGGGATAGCCAGCATGGGTTTGTTGTGGGTAGGTCTTGCTTGACCAATCTCATTTCCTTTAATGACCAGGTGACCTATCGCCTGGACAAGGGAGAAGAGATTGATGTCATATATCTTGACTTCAAAAAAGCCTTCGATCTGGTATCCCATGATCACCTCTTGGTGAAACTGGCCAATTGTGGCCTTCGGTCCACCACGATCCGCTGGTTGGGGAATTGGCTCTGTGGTTGGACCCTGTAGCAGGGCACTAAGGTGCCTGCTACTGAAAAGCAGCTGTATGGGCTCAGGTGCTGGTTGCTAGGGGCAACCAGGAGGAGCTAAGGGCTGGCATCTGGTAGGTCAGCTGACCGGAGGGGGCAGGGCTGACCACCATAAAACACAGACAGGAGGCTGTGGATGCCCTCTCCCTCTCACAACCGGCAGCTGGACTGAAGGAACACGTTCAGATTAAGGAAAAGAGGTTGACCCTGAAAAGGGGAAAAAGAGAAAAGCCTTGAAGTATAAACCACTAGTTATGGGTGTGATATGGTGTGTGGGTTAGAGTACGTTTGTTTTAGAGTTAGGTTTTAGCCAGGAGGCTGAGTTTTGAGTTGTAGCCGATGGGCTTGCATTATTGCTTTTGTTGTTTGTTGTTAAACCAGAGGACTGGGTGAGGCTGTAGGGGTTGGAGGAGGCCTCATAGGAGCTCCACAGTAGCGTGGGGGTTCCTGGCACTGGAGAGGGCGCAGAGACTGGGGGCCAGGCATGGCTACAGCCACCTGAGCCTCGATTGTGGGAAGCCCCAGTGGGGCGCAAGACCCGAGAAGGGGGTCTGGGGGGGCCAGGCACAGCTACGGCCACCTGAGCTTCAATTGTGGGAGGCCCCGGCATGGGCAGGAATTGCAAGGCAAGGCCCCGGCGTGGGCGTGAACACGGAGAAAGGCCCCAGTGTGGGCAGCAACCGCGAGAGAAGCTAGGGAGCGTCTGTGGGGCACTGGTAACTGCGAGAAGCCCCAGAGGCAAGAGGGGGCAGCGAGAAGCCCCAGAGGTGAGCCAGGGGGCACCCGCGAGGGCACCAAGAGAAGAGAATTGACTAGACAACATCCAGTACGTCTGCGAGGCTTGAGGCGTGGTATCAGGGGTGGTAGGAGCCACACATAGCCCCTAAGGCTAGAGTGCACCGGGGCAACCAGGACAGAGCATTGGCCAAGATACACCAGGGCATCATGTCAACGTAGACAGAAAAGGCAGCCTCTCCTAAACACTAAGAACATCAAAGACGTGTCGGGCGAGATGGTGAGGGTGCGTGGTGACACCAACTTGGCACGGTAGGGGGTGCTAGGGGAGTTCACGGCACCCCTAGGTCCCGCCCTGTCACAGACCCAAAGGGTTGTAATTGATGGCAGTCACACATCATGGTGTCCTGTGACCAGTGGGGTCCCCCAAGTCTCTGTCCCTGGACCCATATTGTTCAACATCTTCATTAATGATGTGGACATTGGAGTCAGGAGCCGACTGGCCAAGTTCGCCGATGACACCAAACTTTGGGGCAAAGCGTCCACAGCTGAGGACAGAAGGGTGATCCAGGCTGACCTGGACAGGCTCAGCAGATGGGTGGACGAGAACCTGATGGTGTTTAACACTTGAAAATGCAAGGTCCTCCACCTTGAGAGGAAAAACCTTTCAGCATCATTATAGGCTCAGTAGTGCTACGTTGGCTAATACTACGGAAGAAAGACTTGGGGGTCATCATTGACCACAAGAT